TTAGTCTTCCTGATGCTAGGCAACTCTTATTAAATTGTAATCTCAATGATGTCATCTGGGCAGCCCTCACCCTGATGGGCTATGAATGTGTCCTAGCTGATCTCAAAAAAATGGGCCATCGATTTAGAAGTGCAGTCAAACTGATCAGTTCTCGCTTGAAATGTCTTTTTGAGCCATTCTGCACATTTTCTCCAATCAGCCAGATATCTAAGCTACAAAGTTTATGAAAAGATTTCTTTTCTATCTAATTTTTTTTGGAGATGACGCTTCCTAAATTCAAGGGCATCTTTTTTGGGGGGAGAAAGCATTTATTGCCTGCTCTTCTCCAAATATAATTTTCCCCCGTTTTTCACTGCTGCTTGAAGATGGAGTGAATGGTTTCAGTAATAGTTAACTCTTTTTTTCCCCAGTGGCCATTGCTTTACACTCATATACTGAACTTCATTACTAAATTTGGATGCCCATTGACCTAGTTGAAAGACAATGTCTTTTTGGAGCTTCTCAGACTGCTTGAGTTTTCCACAGCTGTAATAATTTAATTTTAAGTAGCAAACTTGGCCATGTTACTGCTTAACCCAAGTTTCAATTTATTTTTAAATGCGTTACATCTGTATTCCCGGTAGTTTGCAGATTTCAGCCACTCAAATTATCAGCAATGGCCACCTTATTTTTCAATAAAGGAGAATATTTATAGCTCAGGGTTGAAATAAGGGGTCCTTGGTGCTCTCTGAGCTTGGTCGGGGTTTTTTGTAGATGTTTCATTACCCAGGGCCCTTGTGATGTTACCTAGTTTGGGTAATGAAATGTCTGCAACAAGTACCCCTCACCTTACATTTCATATTGAAATAAGAAAAGTCTGAGTACTTTTATAATATAAAAAAATGTTAAAAGCCAAGTTAATATGATATTTGAATATAGTCTGAATATAATTTGAATATAGTCCAAAACTGATGGCTTAAGCAGGGCACAAATCCATCAGCTATCCATCTTTTTTGGTTTCTTATTACAGGTAGTGCTTGTTTAGTGACAAAAATATGGACATTAAGCAAAGTGCTAGTAGTCACAAATTGAAACAACTTTGGTTATATTCTTGTTTCAGCTTTCATTTGCTTTACAGTCTATGAAGGTCAAAAATGTGAAGATTGGTAGCAAAGTTACTTTTTGTGTAACTACAAATGGTCATTATATGAAATAGTTGCTAATTGAGGACTACCTATACTGTCTTTTGGGATTATTTTTCATTTCCCATTCCAGCTCCAAGAGTAGTTCCCCACCCAATCATTCCTCAAAAAGGTTGTTCACCTCTGTGATAAAACAACAATTATATAAGTAATTAGTTCTCCTTCACACTGACATAAAACTCCAAAGACGTAATAGAAACCATATTGGATTTTAATCTGAACAGTACAGTACAGGAAACCTGGCTGGTTAACAAGTGCTGTAGACCAAAATCTCTGTGTTATCAAAAGCCCCTTTCATCATCTACTACATTTAAAATCCTCATTCCAAACAGTTCGTGAATATTTAACTGCCATGAATATTTTATTTTCGAAAAGGGAGAGCTGAATAAAAGTCAGTTGAAGGAACATTACCATCATTCCATTAAATGTGGACTTTCCAGAATTCTGTTTGGGCCATGACAAAGTCAATGGTGGGCTGCACTTTTTTCTTTTTATATATTTTTTATCCCACTTTATTATTTTTACTTATTGTAATAACTCAAGATGGCAATACTCCTTCCTTCTACAACCCCATTACAACCTTGTCAAGTGAGTTAAGCTGAGTGACTGATCCATAGTCATCCAGCCAGTTTAAGAGAACCGAGCAACAACCCACATCTTGATTGTATTCACAGATAATGCACAACCAGGTAGTAACCTGTTTTATAGTTTTGCTGAAAACTACAAAACAAGTACAACTGAAGTGACCTATTTTATGATTTTGCACAAAACAGGTAGTCCTTGTTTAGTGACTGGCTTGTATAGCAACTATTTGCAGTTACAATAGTGATGGAAAAGTAACTCTGTGCAGGTTTGTAAAGCAAAAGAAAGCTGAAGATTGTAAAGTTGTGTTTCACTTAGCAAACACTTCACCTAATGACCAAGCCTCTGGTCCCAATTGTGGTCACTAAATGAAGATTATACCTGTGCTGACTCCAAACTAACCAAATAAGGCAGCTTCACCCATCGCAATAAAGCTAGGTGCTAAGGATGCTCACACCCCTGTGTACAACTGCTGATTCACCAGTACCTCTGTGGCTATTACAAGAAATAAAATATTGGGAGAGACAGATGAACAGGATGTCAGGATTCCAGCAGTTACCCCAATTAAATCATGAGTCAGGATTTGACACAGGATCTGAACCTGACATAAAATACAGATCTGCAGAGAAATATGAAAAACAAGGAAACTATTAGACCAGATCTGGATAACAGCTATGAGAGAAAAGAGGTCACAAGGAAACAATTCATCAAGATCAAATCAGGACCAAAGGACTGCAACCAGAGAAAATAAAGTTAAGAGTTAATTTCCTATACAGCGGGTAAAGATAGACTGGGCAATTTAACTGGTGAGCGAAAGGTTGATATGGAAACTGTGACAGAGGTTGTGGGCAAAGAGTAAAATGACAACCTTTGATAAAGACTCCCATTTCATGCATGCAATTATCTACAAAGCACTCTGATCTTCTCTAGTCCCTGTATAACAGTGAGTATAAGTGGGTGTATGTGTAATACTTAAGCAACAGTAATTAAGCTTATACTGGTTAATAGAGATTCCCCCACAAGCTGTGTGTCCCATGAACATTTTTTTTAACATGTGATCCCTGAACTCTTGTACGTATCTCCATTAAATGTCTGTGAGCCTAATAAATCATATTTCACTACCACCCATTCGCTGCCCCGGCTACGTGCTACCAAGACTCCGCCACACATATCTGCTTCCTGGATTAGGTAGAAAGCAAGGATAGTGGAAGAGAGCAATGCCAGGAAGAGCAAGAAATGAACTTTAAACAGAAGCGTGTAACCAGGCCATTTTCTTGCAAGAGAAAAGAAACAGCACAAGCCAACCTAAGCTGGTTGTGACTGCTGCCGGTGAAGGAATAGGATTTCCCCCCCCCAGCTCAGATACCTGATTTTGCTTCCTTATTGGCCTCTCTAAAGCTGCTTTCTTAGTATGCCACAAAGGAATAAAGACTATCTGGTTGCTTCTCACCCAGTCAGTTTTGTCTCAAGGACTAGAGAGAAAAGGGGAGACAGATAGGCAGCCGAGGGAAAGCCAATTTACTACAAATCTCAACACTTTAGATGGAGGTGTCAAAAGCTAACTTTCCACTAATGGGAAGCAATGTTTCTTGCATTCTTAGGGGGTTCATTGTTTTTAACATCCAGCTGCATTTACCCCGCCCCACTCCAGAAATGTAATTGCAAATTAAAGTTTGCCTATGAGGTACTATAGGGTGCTGGTTGTAGGCATATTTCTAAGCCCTATTTAAACCATTTTTTATGACACAGAAAGCAGGTGGCACACAATCCTTATGGAGAAATTGTGTGTGGCTTTGAGTGACATGAGCAACTTCAAAGCAGAGGATAAAACACTTATCTGTTTACTTAAAATTAACAGTTGAGGATACTTAATATGTTTATAACCCCTGATATTTAACAACACCCTTGTGGCACATACACAAATATCATTTTGTTCCTCAGCACCTTTGGGGATTGTGACAATTACTGTATATACATTGCTAATAAGTTAACTTTGCTAAGTTGACTTTGGGAGGAAACCAGAATGCCCCAAAGGAACAGAAGAGCCACGTGTAGCTTTTGCAGGTTGCAACCCCGCTTTAAAAACCTTGTTTAGCAAGTTACCCTAGGTGTTTTGAAGAACCTTTTCCATCAGTATCAGCCTGCCAGCATTTTGCCTACCACCAAGTGCAACTATTTGGGCAGGTGTGAAATGCAGGGGTGCGGGGTTGCAGTTTCCCCAGAAGTCCAGAACTGTATTTTTCAATCTTGACAACTTTTTAAGATGTATGGACTTCAACTCCCAGAATTCTCAGCCAGCAAGTTTAAAAACATGAATGTGTTATGACCTCAACGTACACTACAGTTGGGATTAGAATTTCCACTGATAAGCGAGGTGGCTGATTTTACAACCTTATATGGCACGGCTGTTAAGCAAATCACTGCAGTTAATGAAACACAGTCATTAAGCAAATCCAGCTTCCCTCATTGACTTTGCTTGTAGAAATGGGAAGTCAGAAATGTTGATCACCTGACCCTGGGACACTGCTATTGGACACTTCCGTGGACCTTTCTTCATACTTGTGGTTAGTAGAGGGGGTGTGCACTAACGTGCCTATCGTCCCTGTCATTGTATTTTTATTCTCTTATTCTTGCCCTCATTTTTGTTTGACAAATTCCAATAACGAAATAAATAAATAGTCATAAATACATGCCAGTTGTCAAGTGTCTAAATTCTGATCACATCACTATGGAGGTTATAAGTGTGAGGAGTGTTCAAAACTCTTCTTTTTAAATGCGTTATAACTTCAAATAGTCAGTAAATAAATGGTTGTAAACTAAAGACTACCTGTACCAATGGTGCTTCTTTGAGTCTCCCAGCTACAGGCTTCTAAAAAAATCCCCCAAAGGAAACTAATTTTCTCTGAACCTAAAGCTACACATGGGTCTTGTATGACATGCCAGACTATAAAATAATTTATCTCCTTTAAACATATAATGAAATGAATGGTGTAGAAAAGTCAACCTGACACCATTCAAGAAGGATAGCAGTGATCTTGGTTCTTTCCTATTAGATTACAGAAAAAAGTAACACTCAATTTTGTAATTGAAATGAGGTCCATTTTTTGCCCCCAAGAGTAATAAGGTATAATAAAAGATACTATTTGATACTATTAGCAGTTATAAGCTTTTCAGGCTTTAAAAGATTTGTGACTAAACTTGAAGCATCAATGATACATAAAAAATTGTAAATCAAGATTTCTGTTGACTAATAATGAGTCATGTCGTACATGGTTTATTTCTGTTGACAGCAATTTAACAGCAGCAGCTATAATGATGCCTTTTTGGAGTGAAATATATACCTGGAAAATCTGAATTAGCACCTAGAGTGTCAAACAATGAGGCCAAGAAACAAAGCTCTGAAAATTGAAAAATCTGATCAGCGTGGACTTTCTGCAGCCAAAGAATAGCTTGTTTACTTCACTTCTACAAATTTAATTGAGGAAGAGGAAAGAACATAAATATTTAACCTTTCAAGAAACTCCGACATTAGCTGAGTTGCAAACTGAAAACCGATATGCTTTTTAAAGCAGGTATACACAAAACATGTCAGTCTTGCAAAAGACCTTATTGCAAAAACAGATAAATACCTGTACAGCTAAAATGTTATAAAGATGGCTTTTTCATATGTTGCCCAAAATCATGGTTTGGAATGAAACACTTTGGAATCCCATGTTTCCCAGGAGTACAAATAAGACTCAGAAGAGTTGAGAAGAGCTTAAGAAAAAGAGTTGATATTTTAAAAGTGTTCTAATACTAAAAACAGGTAACATTGCAAAGAGTTTTTTTCCTTTCCCTTGAATTATGAAGTTTGTTTGAGACTTAGTGATAATCAGGTTATCCAAGATCTTGGATACATGTCCCTGACATTTAAGATTTAGCAATCGGGGAGGGAGGGGAGGACTGCATTTAAATTATATCCTTCAGGAAAATGCTAAATATCGTTTCACACAACTCAACCTGGCCTTTCAAAGAATCCCAGCTCTGCCAAGTTCAAGTGGACCTTTAGCTTAATTTGCAAAGTTAAAAGTTAAAAAAGCATCGCTCATAGACAAATTCAGCATTCCCTGGTGCCCCCCTGTATCTCCCGGACTACAGTTCTATCTCCCCATGTATCTTGCTCAGGAAAACAACTACCATAGTCTAACATGCTGGGGAAGGCTAACTAGTTCATCTAGTTTGGCAAATTCTTGCATCCACACAGCCATGCTAGATCTTTGGCCAAAGAGAGAAGATTTTGACTGGTTGGAGTCACTACTAATACTGAAAAGGTTGGAGGGGAAGGCAGCCATTCACAGTGAGATGTTGATGTGTTATGGGAGGGAGAGAGGGATTCTAGAGATATCACCAATGGGCTTTAAACTGAGAGAATTGGGAAAGCAATGGGTCCCTCCTGAAGGAGATAGCTATTCCAGCCATCATAGCAATCAAGACAACTCCTGGAAGCTGTAGTTCAACAATACAATAATATAGATTCCTATTTTTTTCAAATTCATATAAAAATGTATGTAGTCCACAAAATTGCGTAAGCCAGCTTACTGCCTTTAGGATTGTCCATATTTCTGTTTTCTGATCATTTATAATTCAGGGGATGAATCCATTTAAAAATGTGATTTAAGAAAGCAATCATAAACTTTCTTTTGAACAGCTCATTCTTTGATTTTTTTTTCCAGCACAAGACAGTCTCATGTCGTACTAATCATTTCTTGGAAGGCTCTGCACAAGTACTATGAAGCAAATGACTTTTTTTTTTAATCACTAAAGCACTTTTAGACCCATAATCTTGTATCATGTGATTTTTACAGCAATTAAAACTGGCTCCAGCACTTCACCACCCACAGCTACTATCCAATTCTGCTCTGATCTTCATAAAGGTCTAACTGTGCAATTGCTAGAGACCAGCACAGCAAAAAAGACGCTATTCCAGGCTGAAATTTCAGATAAGAAATTATAAATATTAGGAAATGACTTTAGTCATGTTAGAACTGTGTCCAAATATGTTATTTACTACAATGTAGTGTTTCCTTGCTGTATCCTATTCTAGATCAAAACTATAAACCAAAAACTTAAGAGTGAAGGAATTAAAAAACCTAGTTTCCATTCTTTGCTAAAGGTCATGCTATTAAGACATTGCTCAACATTCAAATCTATTTACAACCTTAAATATTTACTTTACAACACATCTGTTTCTGAAAACAAAGATTAAGAACCCTTTACACTTCTTTCTCAAACACAGCATTCTTGGCAAAGTGTGATAAGCAACTCTGTTTAGGGAGTGAAGATAGCACAACCAACCACCAGTTGATGTTAAAACATGTGCATGCTTCGAAGAAAGCAATCCCCAAAGCATTCCTTAAAAATTATACTGAATTTCTGTAAAAAGGAAAGGTAAATTCATTTCAGGAACACATAAAAATTCAGTCCTCATAGTAACCAACTCTGACTAAAATAAATATCATGGTACACATCTAACAACAAAAAGTACCTTTAAAATGTGCCAATTTTAAATTTGTTTCATTCCTCCCCCCCTTAGCCCATCGGCCAAGCAGAAAAAAACAGAAGGAAGGAATATCTGAGTCCTGAAGCCATTCTCATCCAGCGTAAACCTGAGGTTGCAGCGGAGGGGGCAGTTTGTCATTTTCAACATTTTCAGAGTCAATGGCCGCCAAGGCTGGGTTTGGGGCTTTAATCTCCAGAGGGTACTTCTCCACAATCTCCTGGACTTCCTTGGTGATCCCATCAGTCCAATCAATGAGGTCCCTCTCAAGCTTTTTGGCCTCACTGACAATCCTCTCCTGCCTCTCATTCAGTTGTGAGAGGAGACCAAGGTTCCTGTACATTTGGCGCATCCCCACACATACGTTAGCTGGCCAGTTCTCGGGTTCTTGCTTCTTTGGAGAGGTTTGGCCAGACATATAGCGGTCAAAGTCTTCCTGGCTCAGGTTTAAGGACTGAGCATCCAACTTCTCTATGAAGGCAACAGCACAACACTGCAAAAGCAAGAGCATTGGTTCTTTCAGGTTGCATACAGTTAACATCAACTTCATTCATATGTAAACCATCTGATGCAACTCTTAAAACCTTGATAATGAAACCTTCTGCGGAAGATAGTTTAAATTACTACTTAATAACAATAATACCAATAATAATAAATAATGTATCAAAAATTGCTCAATTTCTTTGATCAGTTTTTTGTTGGAGACCTACAAACTTAATTAGAGATTTACCTGTGCACATAGAATTCCCTTTCTAAAGCTTTTGTAATAATACATACTACAGTTTGTATGTTCTGATACATGCAAATGTTTATGCAACAGCTATGTGTGTGACAGAGTGAGACAAAGAGTGACTATACCACTCCTAGACCAACATTATCTACGGAGCAAAATCTGTAAACTACCCAAAGTCCATGACAATTGAAGTAGTAGATAAATCACACAAATAAATATAGAAAATGCACTGTTATTTTTTAAAGCTTCCATGCCTTCACCTGCTCAAACATATACCAAATGTCATGCTTAAAGGTAGGCCTGGATTAACAAAACAGAAAACTTGTACAAAGAAACTATATTGTGGGTTAATATAATGACCTGGTTTAAAAATGTTAATGTCTTGGCTGGGTTCCAATCAAACAATGAATAGCTAAGTACACAACACCACTGTAGCTCACAAACCCAATCCAAGTTTTCCTAGTTTTAATTTTAGTTCTGTGCAATAATTCAGTCACACTTGACTTGCCATTCCTATTTGGCAAACATGGCAAGAATATTGGAATAGTTATTATTGCATACTTCTTTTTTTTTTTAAAGTACATGCAGATTTTCTGGTATTTCAACAGCAAGAGGCAGAAAGTTGGTATTTTTCAATATATTTAATATATTATTTGAGTGACACACAGGATGTTAGATTTCCTTGATGTACGTGCATCATATAGCATCTCCACAGTGCCTCATAATTGTAGGTTCAAAATCCAGAAAACAGGCCAAGCACATGCTTGCTGATGTAACTATGAAGGCCACAAATAAGGACACCAAACCAGACGAGCCAAAAATTGTTAGGCGCCCAATAATTTAAATAAATAATGATGATCGTGATCTCTTCCATTAAGAGAAAACAAGGAAAATAGGTTCGGTATCTAGCAATATATTTTTCCCCAAATTCCCCTAAAAAAGAGAGTCATGATCACAGATCTACTTACCAGGTTCGTAAAGTAATATCCATCTTCCCCAGTCATCAGCCTGCTGGGATTGCAGAACCGAGTGATGTACTGAATGTTGGACTGCAGGCGAGGTGGGTTGCCCTTCAGGACAATGTAGATGAGAGTGGGCAAAAAGTCATCAGCTGAAGCTGGCTCAGCCTTTGTGGTCCTGATGGCGTTAAAGATGTGCTTGCTGCAGCTAGTGATGCAGGCCAGCTTGTCCCGGGGGACACGCTTTGAGTCCATTTCAATGATGTCTGCAAGAGGAAAACAATGTCAAGAATCAAGGGGGGGCTGCATTCATTGGCAGGGCTCTTTTCACTTTAGTTGTCCCACCCTCCATGTTTAAAGTGTTTATTAAATCTTGCATAGTATCTTTCCTTTCAAGTCTAGAAATCAGGAGACTGTGAGTTTTAGTCTCCTCTTAGGCATGAAAGCTGGCTAGGTGACTTTGGATCAATCATTCTCTTTCAGCTCACAACATTAAGTTTGGGTGATAAGCTGATTGGTCAATTCCTGTTGCAGCCAATGGATCAACGTGCAGCTGGTCTGGGGGAGGCGGGGGAATGGATCCTGCACTTGAGGGAAAATGCTAGGAAAGGAGGAGGAAAAAAAGCCTTATCAGTTAGCAGCCTTGCCGTACAAGAAGAAGAATGCAAGTTTTAATATAAGCAACCCACTAATAAGCCAAATTACCCCAAAATGATTTAGTTTTAAATAGTTTCAATTTTAAATTGTTAGCTACTTAAAAGAATGACAAGTACCAGTGCTATTCTTTGAAGAGAGAATCCTCACATGAATTAAGAAAAAAAGGAATACTTTGAAAATGCTGCTGGCTGCAATATTATCATATGTCCTTAAAATACTCTATATATGTCTGTCCTAAAACTGTTTTACAGAATATATAAGACTCTGCAGGGGGCTCAGATGATTGACAGCTGAAAGGTACAGTTACAATCAACCAGGTTATTTATTTATGACAGCTTTGAATGATGACCCCTCAGTTACTGTATTCGGCCTGCCATACGCAGGCAGTATAAAACACTGTATTAATAATGATTTTTACTGCACCAGAATAGCACAATTAAACATCTAAGTTCAGAGAGCTGCTGAATGACAATTTTCCAGTTGATGAGACAAGATTGAGAATTGCTGTGAGTTATAGATAAGCCACATCTGAATGGCCATCAATTCATAATCCCAATTCTAGAATGATTCAAGTCTCAAGCCAGAACTGCAAGGGACAGACGGCTTGATGACCCAGACTTTTGGCCTTGGGGAAATCAATTGCTATGAAAATATGTAATGGCAGAGAGTAGGCACACCATCAAAAGGAGACTTATTCTAAAATGAGTTTTAAAGAATTCCAGGCAGTTATTCCAGTGGATGAAATGAAATACAAGTAAGCAAGGAAGAGGAGAGGACAGGAAGAATTTCTTAGAAATTAGGGACACCAACTAAGTCTATACAAAGTATTCGGGTCGAATACGGGTCAAAGTATTCTTCTCAACAGTTTGTTAAGTAGTCAGTGTGAATACTTTCCATTCCCATTAAAATCCCCTTAAAAAGCCCTTCCTGGGTGGGGAGCATGGAGAGAGAATGAAACAGGTTGCATTCTCATGTCATTCTGAATTCTGGTTCTACAGCTGTTGAATGTACCAAACATTACCCTTGTAATATTATTCTTACGTGTTTTCATACTAGCATGTATAATGCTTAGCAGAAAAATTAACAAACCGTAATATAGGTTTAGATTAGTATGTATGAACCAGCCACATGAGAAATATATTCTCATGATTTTTTTTTGAGAAATCACTCCTGAACAAGGTTTTCACACAAAAAAAAGAATGTAGACACCATGGGTTAAACTCACATTCTTCTTACTAGCCTTCTGATACGAGACACGTTTGCTCCTGGGATTGACCTGATGATTTTTACTGTGGTGAAAACATTTGAGATCAATAAATATCCCCTCTCCAACCCATCAGCCCTTTACATACCTGTGATAGCTTTCACAACTACATCTGAGACTTCAGGGATTTCTTCATTGACAGGAACACAAAGCATTTGTGGAGTAACCCAGTGCAAAGCTCTGCGGGTTGATTTGAAAGCAAGGGGAGGGGAAACCACTATTACGATCTTTAAAATAGTTACAAACTATAGCACAAAACTCTGTGCCCCCAAAAATTGCTGTCAGGATTCGGGCAGTTACCCCCATGTAAATCATGAGTCTCCAGCCAAACTTCCAAAACTTCAAAAGGATTTATTGGGAATTAAAATGGCCGGCACTGCCTGGGTGTAGCCAACTCTGAGACACATAATTCATTGTTACCCTTGACGCTGGTTTTCCCCTCCACACCCCTGGGTGTATCGTAATTCATATTCTCCAATAGGACACATCCATAGCCAGAGTCATCAATCATGATCCCCTGTTAGCATTTTGCAAGGCAAAAACTTCAGTCACCTAGTTACTATCTTTGAAAACATTTAGGGAATGCACTTTCGGTTTGCAAGCTGCCACACTGCTCCCCCCTCCCTTTCTGTTGACAACTCTAAAAAGACCATAGAAATATTTTATGAGTTGATAGTTGCATTCTGGAAAACAAAAGCAGAGAGTAAATATTTAGTTTTTTAAATAATTAATCTGCTTTTATTTTTTAATTTAATTTCTTATTCATACAGCCTAAATCATCTAGTTCAAGTCCTATAGGGTTTTAGAGACCAATATCAACGTCATGAGAAATCCATTCTTAGGCATGATTTTGATGTTATATATTTTGACTGCCAAACCTGGAAAATCTGCAATCTGTCCTACATCCATCTGATTCAGAAAAGAGAGGTAGTCCTTAATTTACAACTATTCATTTAGCGACCATACAAAGTTACAATGGCACTGAAAAAAGTGATTTACGACTGGTCAATGGAGGAAGCTAATCTGATTGATTAGTTTATCAACCTACATGATTCACTTAACAACTGCTGTGATTCGTTTAACAACCACAGCAAAAGAGGATATAAAATTGGGCACAATTCAATTAATTGCCACCCTACTTAGTAATAGAAATTGTGGTCCCAGTTGTGGTTGTAGGCCTGGCGGGGGGAGGGGGGGAAATTCACTTTGGTGCCAACTCCATTGGTCTTTGTGAAGCCTACAACATAAATGTTAACATTTGGGTAAACTTTTCCTCAATGTGCTCCCATTCATCTATTCACATGTAACTTTGTGTTAAGGAGCTCATTTGTAATCTCCAGTGATACATCCTTATAGACAAAAAAAATGTATGAATAGAAAACCCAATTACAATCAGATACATTATTTTTCTTAATGTGTAACATTGCATAAAATTAGCACCTCGTAAGCTTCTTGTTCTTGCTCTATGCCCTACAAATTGAATGATAGCAGCTGGCCTTATGACATGCTTTTATTTTCATTTGAGTCAAAAAATATATTGGCCAATTGACCAATTGGCCATTTTTATAGCATATGCATATATTTTGCGTATGTAAAAGTCCAAAAGCATTCAATCCTTAAAGAGGAACCATCTATTGCCAAAGAGCTTTCTATATGTCCTAGGCACTTGGTCGGTTTGAGGCCAATCTACTGGGCATAGCAGGCAACTAGGTCAGAAATTGAAAAAGATGACATTTGATAAATCAGGATAGTGAATATATGATCTCTGTACTATTCTTCTATTTTCCTGTCAAAAGTATATTTTGAAATTAAAGCATTTCATTTATTCATTCATTCAGACAGTTTGAAATATGGCATTTTAGACTGTAATGCATTTATGTTTTCTGTCTAGAAATTAATTCTCCAAGCTCTGCAATATTTTTGAAATTACTGCAGAAAAATGTCTGGATGACTTGACTTTTAGATATTCACAGGGAAATAATTTTATTAGTTGATATTTGTTTAGGTAGGTAGTCATGAAACACTAACTACATATTTTTCAAGAATGCAACGAAAGAAAGCAATATAAAACATTGTAAGAAGAGCTTTCAAGATGATATATTTCAAACTGAGTAATCCCCAAGGTTCCTCACATATTGCTCTTTTAAAGAAAAGAGATCAGTATAAAGTTCAATTGGTTTCACTGTTCCCTTTGAGAAATCTAAATTATATTGGACCTTTAAATCCTTCAGAAGGATACAAACGTTTACTGTTTTTCATTGTTGTTTGTATGATGTACCGATATTATTTAATTTTATCGCACAAAAGCTCAATCTGCTAATACTACTGTAAAAGTTTTTTTTTTATTTTGACCATAAATTTAATATTGGTTATTCCAATAAAATAATTAAGGATTGGCATGGCATCTCTCTGAGGAAGGCAATGAACTGAAACATTACACGACATAGATAAAATGGCCTAAAACAGTGAGAGTAATCGTTCCCTGTTGGCAATAGTGCAGCTTTTAAAAGTTCAACTACCTCAAAGAGAAACCTGAGAAAGGTAAGAGAAAAACGGCTACAGCTGGAATCATCCAGGTACAACTAGGTAACAAATGTTAAAGGATCCTGCATCTGAAAGAGAGAAACTAGTCCTAAAGTCAAACCTGATTCTTCTCTGGACAGCCAGATCTTTCTTCTCATCCTCCGTGGTTTCCGGGCAGAAAACGTATTTATACAAGCGGGTCATTATGTATTTCTCCACTTGATCCGTCACTTTTTCCACTTTTTCTGGAGGCACTGAAAAAGACACAGAGATAAAACAAACACATTTTCACAATCACCACAATCATGACCGTAATTGACTATACATCAACTAAAAAGCCTAAAAGTTATATTAAAGCCTAAAAAAATATGAAAAGTTAGAAGATATACAAGACATGGATTAAAACAGAAAGTGTGTGTGTGTGTGTGTGTGTGTACACACAAAATATATACGTATATATAAAAACAAGAGTCTAAAAGAAGAGCTAAGAACATTAGCAAGGGAGTGGGGGAGCATAAAAGTTTTGTATAAGAAAACCATATCAAATTGCAGAGTACTCTAATATGAAGAACTAAGTACTTATTAAGAGAGTTCTAACACATCCAGCTTCTTCCTCTTATCATCACAGCAATTGTTTGAAATTAGACATTTTTTTACCCTCCTTCTATTAAAACATCACCTACAGTAACATATTATTTGAGAGTGGGTATGATGTAGTAGTTAAGATGCTGGACCAGAAGCAGGGAAACCCAGGTTCCAATGCACCTGTAGGCATGGAATGCCAGGGCCAGCCATCCCTCTGAGTCCAAGGAAACTGAAAATCAAAGCCCTCGTTGCACCATTCATTGAGAAGCTTTGCTATAAATACTAGGCGAGCACAGTGCAAAATAAGCCAGCAGCTAAATGGAACCTTGCACTTAGGTGGAATAAATGCCAAGAAGAACCTAACAGAACATTCTTTAGTCTGTAGCCAAAAACTCCCCAGCAATAGCTCCAGTGAAAGTAGAGAGGCTTTTTTCACGGAGTTTTACTTTACCCAGAAAAAAAAAATAGAAAACGATCACAATTGAACCCAAAATTTCCATTGCTAAAGAAAGCAGTTAAGTGAGCTATGCCCCATTTTATGATTTTTTGCCATGGTTGTTAAACGAATCACTACAATTGTTAAGTGAATCATGCAGTTTTTTTGTGAACCTGGTTTCCCCCATTGACTTTGATAATCCCAGGTCCTTGGAGGCTGTAACCATCGTAAATACCTGCCAGTTGCCAAGTTTCCAATTTTGATCACAAACCATGGGGATGCTGCAATGGTTGTATGAACAACGATCATGTCACTTTTTTCAGTGCCACTGTAACTTCAAAAGGTCATTAAATGAATGGTTGTAAGTGAAGGACTACCACTATACCTGCAGGTTTATGTGTACGATTTACACATACAAATAGTCTTTGACTTACAACTGTTTGTTTAGGGACCGTTTGAGGTTACAACGGCACTGGAGGAAAAACATACAACCATTGCAGCATCCCCATGGTGACCAAAATTTGGACACTTGGCAACTGACATCTATTCATGAAGTTGTAGTGTCCCAGTGTCATGTGATCACCTCATGTGAACTTCGGACTAGCAAAGTCAATGGAGAAGCCAGATTCACTTAGCCGCCATGTTACTAACGTGACTGCAGTGATTCATTTAGCAACTGTGGAAAGAAAGGTGGTAAATGGAGTGCTTAGCAACTGTCTTGCTTAGCAATGGAGCTATTGGGCTCAACTGTGGTCTTAAGTCAAGGACTAACTGTTAAACCCCTTTTCAATAAAAATGTAATTTAAATTCTGAACTTTGGGATTCTAGAAAGGCTGAGTTTAGGACTTTCGATTCCTTTCGGCAGCCTTCGTCCATACTGCATTGGTGAAGGATTTCTTCTTGATAAGATAGGGACCAAAATGTGTTCCCCACCAGCAGCATCACTGAGGCAAAAGTCCCCCCCCCCAAGTCCACTCCAAGCACAGACATGAAGAAGCACATTTATAAAATTGTATCCATAATGGTTATTACCCTTCTTTTTCCTGAGTTCCAAAAATAAAATGGGAAAATATGTAAGAACAATACCTTTCCAGCGAGTCTGTAGCTTATCTGCCACATTCTGATAGAGGCTCTGAGCATATTCAGACTGTTCCTCAATACTCAACTCCTATAAAGAGAAATCAGTCATGTGTGCGAGAATGGGCAATCCCCAAATGTGAGATCGCATAAAATCCAAGTACATATTATTCTGTTCATTGTTCATATGGGGGCCAGATTAAGTCCACGGTGGTAGAACTTTTACTCTTCCTTCTGCCCTATAAGCTGTCCTATAGTTCAATGGAGGTCCCAATCTTACAAATAACACACTGAACTCTTCATAGAACCAGACAGCATAAGGCAGGCGCTAGAGGCTGCATATCTTTTTCCAGATCAGATCGTTTATTTTCAGGTCAACCAGTAACTTTAGTAAGATTCTCAGAGAAGATGCAAAGTTTCTCAGAGAGGATGAAAAACATTAATATACATGAAGAAGGGGAGGTTATGTCAAGGGCAATCAGTGCTGAGAAATGTCAAAAAAGATTTGATCATACATTATTTCGTAAGTATACCGGTAGTAAACACATATTTCATATTTCTTGAAAGGGAAGAATCTATACATACTAGATTAGAAAAAACTTTGATCTCTGCATTTCTGTGTTGCAAACAAATCTAATATGAGTCTGCTATTTAAAAAGTAAACTTCAGGTAGTATTCAACTTAGACCATAACAGAGCCCAAAATTTCCATTATAAGTCATGATGGTTATAAGTCGAGGCAGCCACAAGATCAACTCAATTTTATGACCTTTTCTGTAGCAGTCATAAAGCGAATGTAACAGTTGTTAAGTGAGTCTATTCATTCCTATGGGTATTTTTTGCTAGAAATAGCAATAGCACTTAGACTCATATACCACTTGATGGTGCTTTACAGCGCCCCTCTAAGCAGTTCACAAGAGTCAGCATGTGGCCCCCATCAATCTGGGTCCTCATTTTATTGACCTCAGAAGGATGGAAGGCTGAGTCAACCTTGAGCCGGTCATGACTGAACTGCTGGCAGTCATCAGAGTTAGCCTGCAATATTGCGTACCAACTACTGCACCATCACGGCTTTGTCCTAAAGACTAGAAACTAACAAGAATAAGTATAAATCATGATCACATAACTGCAGAATGCTGCAACCAGCTGCAAAAATAAATCAGTTCTGTGACCACAGGAATGTGTGTGTTTGCCAACATAGGACCTCCAGAATTTGATCATAAGTAATTCCGGGAAGTTGGGGGGAGGCATTCATCATAACTTTAAATTAAGTTATCATTAAGCAAAATACTATCTGTATTTAGGCAAAAAAAACCCTCCCCTTAATCTCCTTTCACATAAAAGCAATATACTTTTCTCCTTCTTTAAATATCATGTTTACGGATTGCTTCCCAGGCAGGTCATAATTGAAATTCATTCCATTTCCTGCCAGGCCCCTTCTAATGCTTTTGCTACCTTCACCATGAAAGGTGCTTCATCCTCTCCTTGTACTCCACATCCAGAATTTCACCCCTGCAGAGAAAACCCCAAATGAGTCATCAAGGCCAGCAAACCCCTCACCCTGCAAGAATGGCTCACCCGCTTGCGATGCATCGTGTCCAGGAACAGTTTGCACTGCTTGTAGACCTCCTGGCCAGCCCTATTGTAGGTCTTAAGAAATTCAATGAAGTCCTTGGACACTCTATCGGTTTCAATGCTGACCTGCCTACTGATAGAAGGACTAGGCGCCTTGGCTTCTGGGACTTCTACAAAAAGAGGGAATAGCACACTGTTACAAATAAAAATTACTCAACTTTCTTAGTCAGAGGTGTCTTATGAGCAACAGATGAAAAAGAAGCTATTTATTGTCGGAAAAAAACACTCTACACACAAAACCTTGAAGGCTTATTTTCTACTACTTGTAAGCTAAACTAGAATTGCAGCCAATAAGACTTTCTCAGATGGAAATAACAACCTCAGATGTCTGCTGCATGACAGACACCATTTATCTAGAGTCAATTTTCCCCAGGTATCAAATGTTTAATCAGACCTTGTGCCCATGTCCTACTTTTTAGAAAAGTGGCTGATTAAAGCAATTAACTAACACATGCTACTTATCAAACCTATTCTCAGAGGCAATATATGTAAGCTGCAGTCTTCCATGTATCACTGAGACAAATCTTGTAAAGTATTTACAGAACTAATGTAAGATAGTCCATTAATCTACTATCACTTATAGCATTTTCTGGAAACACTCCTTCTATCTTTGCTCAAGCTGCCATAACTTTAAAAACTAGAGATATAGGATGTGTTTAACACGCTAGCTTCTCCTTCGAACATTTTTCATGTTGGTGTTAAATACAGCAAGAAAAATATACGTAATTACATATGTAGATATGGTTGACTCAGATTCTACTAATAGACTAAAAACACAGCAAGTACTACTTAGTAAAGACTGGAATCCACCACTGTTGATATTTTTACAAATAGTCAGGTGATACAATTAGATCTCAAGAAGGAAGGAGGGGTATTAAGAAAGAAAAACAGAATTTCAAATGTTAATACAAACCCAACACCACCTATGAGGGCATTTTATATTATGTAAACTTTTACTGAAATATGACACTGAGACATAAACAAATAATGGATGCAAAACTTTAAAGGGAATAGCAAAAAATAAATAGCATAACGAACAAAATATGGATGCAAAATTTTAAAGAAATAGAACACAACAATGGAAAGAATCATGGCCTTATCTATAAAACCCATACCAAATGATAACCCAAAGGAAGATTGGTATGTAGTATTTTACAAATGATATACAACTCCATCAGTAATATCTAAGATTGACAGATCATACTGTAATAAATATTGGAAATGTCACGAAAGGAAAGAATTGTTTCAGTGATGTTGGAATGTCTAACTCTGTAGTAATTTTTAGAAATTTATTTTGCTTTCTATTATACTCTGTGACATCGTTCACCATAAATTTAAAGTATATTTCTTTTATCCCTTACTATAATATTATATTAATATAAATTTAAAATGTCAGTTTAAAAATTTTCATTGCCTATTTCTGTCGAGCTAGAATCAATTATCATATTTTTCACCACAGAAATATCATTTCACGTAGTACAAATTCAAATAATACGATTATTTCCTGTGATTCATTAATTGCACTAATGGAGATCTACCTGTATTGCAAAATAGCAGGTGTATAAAAAGGAAGAAGTGAGAAACCTAATAGGGTTTTTTTTCTGTTTTGTCTTTTTCTACTTTTTATTTTAATTCTCCCTATTTAATTCTCCCTAAATTTGCTCTGTACATCTATTTTCCCTTTCATTAACATAACAGAGACATACATACAACGCAACACAATGGAGATTTTAATATTAAATAATCTGCTTAAGACAAAAACCTTTATAATATAACAAACCCTTTCATGCGCATCTCAGCTTTTTTCAATATTAACCTCAACTCTGAATGAAAAAGCAAATAATTGAACAATAGTTAAATCCAACAATTTCATTGTTAGCTGCTCCCTTTTAGCTCTTTATAAGGAGATAATTACAGTCAGAAAAGTGTAATTACATACACAGTCAGAGTCCACCCAGATTTTATTTATTTGGACTTGCAGGATCCAATCTAAGTGGGTCATTGGGACCAGAGGTTTAGTCTTCCGAGCTGGAGCCCATCTTCAGGGAACTTCTTCCTACATTTTGGCAGAGAAACGTTAGCTGAGGATGGGCTTTTGAATCCGAAAGCTCGGAAGACTAAAGCTCTGGTCCTGGTAACTGACCCAGATTGGATCCTGCAACATTATCCTGGGACGTGTATATGTGGACTTTTTTATCCCACCTTTATTGTTTATTATATTCAAGGTGGTGAACTTACTCCTTCCTCCTCCCATTTTCTGCATAACAACAACCTTATCAGAGAAATTGTGGTGGCCCAAAAAAACCCAACCAGCATTCTTCCTGAAGTTCACAACAATATAGTAGATTAAACACCCAGCAAGGTGAAGGACATGACATTTATTTATTTTTTAAATTAATTTAAAATAAGAATAAACTCAATGGCACAAGGAAGCCTGAGAGGAGGTATTAAACTGACACTATATTGTCCATTCCCCAGTTTAGTATATGCCAAGGGAGTATCATGAGACAAGCAGCAAATGAGTCTATATTAGCCAAACTATTCAATGAATGATGCATCCATGGAAATACTGAAGATGAGTTCTTGACATGACAGGCAATAAAAGGGGCAGTGAAATATAATAATGTAAATTTGGTTAACTATAAAATACCCAGCAAGTTGTATGGACCTAATGCATATTCAGTACACTGATATATCTGAATACATTTTTCACCTAGGTTAAAATGCATAGTATTTGGAGCCCTTCCAAAAAGAAACAAAATGCAAGACTAAAAAGTTATTTTATCTAAACAGCAGCATAAATTCACCCACCTTTCAGTTTACTAACCAGCGCTATTCAGAATGAAGCACAGAAGATGCAAATGTAGCAGGATGAAGGGAAAGAAGTAGACAAAGAAATAAAACATAAAGAATTTTAATCAGCACCTCACAAATGCAAGCCAAACACTAATGCATCTAACACAGAGAACCAATGATTAATGTGAGCACAACAAGGAATGAAGAATGCTGAAAGCATTTGTTATGAAAACATGGCAGCTTACTTCACATTTTTTAGCAGGTGGGAATTTATAGGTTTGCTGACAAGTGTCTGAACTCCGAGAAGTCTGATATTGTTGTAAGCTGCCGTAATTCAGCAGCATACAAATTGAAGAAACAAAGAATACTTGGTTTTCAAGACCTATTTGTTCACAAATGATTTGTTACATGCCTATGCAGAAGTTTAAATTCTTTTTAAAATTTCAAGAAATAAATGCAATCATTCACATAGTCATAAGGACAGCAGGTTATTACTATACTCTTGGGTTGACCCTATATGTTAGTGCAAAAAATCGAAAGTGTAACTAAGGCTTATGCAGTATTTCAATCATACGTTTACCATATTTTCCTTTCTCTGCTTCACTCGAGTCAGCTATAACATGAGGTACTTTCTATGATAACATACATTGGATTGTTCCAAGTCTTCCACACATCTTCTATAAAAGACTTGGAACAATCCAATTGGTTTGCTTCCAACCCCTCAAGGAACCCCCAAGACTCTAACTCCTAGCCAATATGAAGTAATGCCTCAGATAGATTCATCAAGATTGCGTCAAAAATCCCAGTTCTTCCTGCAAACTTCCTTAGGATACATGGGGAGTTCTTGCCAATACTAGAGCATCGTATGCTACTGACCTTACACACGGGGAGAGGAGGTTTCTAACCCAATTGCATATTTTAAAAATTACAAACGAAGTCCCAAACATATAAAGCTATAATGATCTTTACTGGCCATTTATACAATAATGCTATTAAATAACTGCAAGAGTTAAATGGCTTTTAGCTAAGCTGCATATTTTATGCAAGGGATGGCAGGCAGCCTTGTATCCAATTTCTATCTCCGATCTACAGTATTTGGCAGAGTTCATGTCCCCAATCTTAGGCTTATATAATTCTTTTTATATTTCCATTTCCAAAGAAGAAACAAGTCCCAAAACACAGCTTGCGTTGCTAAACAGAAAAAGGAAAACAATGCTGTTTTCCAGTATTTCCTAGGACAATTATTAATTCCACATGCCTAAAATTGTTCTGGAAGAGCAAAAAACTCAAACATACAAAAACAAAAAGGCCACAATCATGAAAGTGTCCAGCAGAGCTGCTACAAATGGCTTTTTAAACACCACTGCTTTTAAATTCCTGCCAGGAAAAACTAATCACAATGTTTGCAGGGTACGTGATCCAGTTCTGCAACTATGACTACAGCAGACAATGGTCAAAGTGTGCTACTGCAGCACACGGTGCAATAAAATAAGAGAATGACTTGACAACATGCATAGAGGAGATCAGCAACAGCTATTACACTTGATATCTAATTGAAGCCTGTGGACGCACAGGTAGGATATCTCTAAATGCCAGACAGCAAGACAGTGAGATGATTATCTTTTTATCAGCAGGGCTGAAAGCTAGACCTCTGTTCTGATCAACAAGGAAAGCAGATCCAGCAACAAAATTTCAAGAGTTATATTAATGACATACCTCAGCTGTTTTCCAACAAAGAAAATATTATAAAAGGCAGATAATAAAGCAATGGTACACATTAATAATCCATTGCATTACTTAGAATGGCAAGTCCTTAGTCAGAGGTTACATATTACTCATTGTAAGATGGTGAGGACACCCAAGGGAGGAATATGACTTTCATGCCCCACTGATTCTATTCAGTGGTGGGATTCAATTTTTTTTACTACTGGTTCTGTGGGCATGGCTTGGTGGGAGTTTCAGGGGAAGGATACTGTAAAATCTCCAGTCAGAGGGGGTATTGGCCAGTTCTCCGAACTCAGTGGTGGTATTCAGCTGGTTCGCACCGATTCAGGTGAACCAGTAGCAAGGATTTGGTGTGGGTTGCTGAACCGGTAATAACTTCTGGCTGGCCACGCCCCCAACCCAGTCGCTGCTTGCTTGCCCCCCCCCATCCAATGCTCTCTCACTCCATCCACCCGATACTTGCCCGCCCAGTCACTCAAGGTATTTCTTTTTTTTTTTAACCTCTCAACAAGCCAGGATTCCCCTCGCTTCTTACTGTGATTGGGTGGGCATGGTTTTCTTTGCAGCACCTCACCCCCACCCTGTTTTTTGGGCCTTCCTGGCCTCAGAGCAGCTTCTAGGGGGGCGTTTACAGCCATATGCCTGGAAGACTGCAGATTGGGGAAGGCTGCATTTAGTGTGTGAGAGGGCAACTAAGCCTTTGAAAAAAATCAACTCTGTGAGTCGAGCTCTACTTCTCATGAATCCATGGACACATCCAAACAGTTCTCTCACCAACATTATGGAAGTGGGTTGCAAGTGCTTTCTTCAAGGCCACCTTCTGACTTCCCCCAGTTCTGGTATTTCCCAATAGTCAATATTTGGTTAAGAGAGTAAGATGGCCTTCAGTAGCCTCTGAGCCTAGACAAGATCAGCCAAATGCTCCTAACTGAATACTGCACTTCAGAGTAGCCAATATTTTTTTAAAGATGTAAAACACTCTTTGCAGTCTTCACTACCTTTTCTAACTGCATTTTAAAAAAGGATGTGACAAATCAACTACACAGCATATTTAAAATGTTACTACCTACTTGGCGTTTAACATGCATACTGTTTGAGAAAATGAACTTCCACATTATGCTGTGCTCCTGATGCTAACAGGTAATTGGGCAAGCTTCTTGAGAACTCTAGAAGTTATGGTTGAAAAAGGCTGAGTGAAAAAGTAAACACTAAAAACATTTGGGTTTTATTTTTTATTATAGTATTAGATATGAGAAGTGTAAAGTTTGGTATCTCCAGCATCTTCTGGCTGAATTATATTAAAAAATAAAACCTGACTACATACAGAATAAATTGGTACGATAAAATTCAGAAAAAAGAACCTTAATCTTTCATCAAAACTATTTGGCTTAAAAATATATACAGCAGCCAGTCTGAACAGTCTTTAAAACACTTGACAGAGAGCTGACAGAAGCCATAAATAATCCGCCCAAATGAATGAAAATAAGGAAAAGCACCACAGCATGCATCTGAAATCCCTTAGAAAATTAATTCTGTTAAAACTGGTTCTCACTGTTCTCATCTTTGGAAGCCAGGACAGTAACAAGAATTCCAACAGGAGTGTTTTTTGTTTTTTTAAAAAAGCATAAGATTTTATACTATACACACAGTCTCTCTTTTTTTAAGAGTACACATTTAGTTTTGGATGGAAAATACACTGGAATTGTGTGGATACTCTCTACTGAAATATTAGAAGCAATATTAGAATAGCTCATTTCCAACAGTTAAACTCATTTATTTCTCAAAATACATGAGTAATTTCTGTTTTTTCACTGACCAAAATTTTGGTCTGAGCAAAATTTTGATCTAATTGATCAATAAAGTGCCTTACAATTTGCCTGTTCAAAAAATATTTTATTAATCAAATTTATATAGTCAAAATTAAAATACTTAGATTCAAAATGATCAAGAATTCATCGATTTTTAGCTTTGCTTGAAGATTAATAGATGCAAGGGTTCCTTTATAACTTAACCAAGCAAATATTTAAGTAGAATTTACAGTATTTCCTGTTGAAGGAAAAAAAACAAGGTTTCAGCTCCATAATCATTATTTTTTAAACTCCTTCTATTGTCTATACCTCTCTTTAGCATACCTATTTAGGTTTAGAAGATACGGTAAGTTACTCCTGCCATAATTCTAGCTTGGCTCCTGCATAGCCACTAAAAGAAGCACGCGCACGGTTTGACCCTCTGTGCTTTATTACCTTCAGCAGGAGAAGCAAGCTCCCAAGACGGAGTAAACATCTCCTTCAAATGCCTTAGAAGATTATCAGCACTGACTTCTTCCTCAAGCTGTTCAGGCTTAAAACTGGATTCCTGAATGGCTAGAGCAAATGCAAAACAGCAAGCAGGACAGCCACAGGCAACAGGGGAAATAAAGAAGAAGGGAGGCAACGGATCTAGGGTTCCTGGTCTGATGCACAGAAAGAGGCGGCAGTATAATAGCTTGGACATCTGGGGGTCAAGCACTTTGAAAGTGATGACTGAAGAAGGAAAAACATATTTCAAAACGTAACAAGCGCAGGATGGGCGGCACGTGAAAACAAGCAGTTTTGAGGAAACATGCAACCAGCTCTAAGGTTGATTTAATATTCCAAAATGCATGTGCACATGAAAGATGTTAGTAGCCAAGAGTAACACACACACACAAAAAGCAGAAAGGAGGTGTTAAAGTGCTGACAGTGGAATGACAAGATTTTAATCATGGCCATTGAGTGGATAGGCCAATATCTAAACACAATTTTCTGTTATTCCTTGTATGCCTACCTGAACACTCCACCGTCAAAACATTTCTCTGGACCCACTACTGTTGCTTGATTAATAGCAAGCTGACACTTTAGTCTTTCCAGTTGTAGTCCCAAAGACGCCCCCCACTCAAAAAAAGGCAATAGGGCTTTGTTGTTGTTTTCTTTGAAAACAATTCATTTCTCATCCAAGAAGTTTCTTTAGTTCTTGGGTAAGAAATGAAATATTAAAAAAACAAAACAAGAAAGACCAGTTGCCTTTCGGACAAAGTACCTTTGGAACACCCATGACCTGGATGATTGAGAATCTCCAGAGATATTTTTCAGTTGTAGTAGACAGAATTTGAAATGGTTTTCCAAAATGCACGCTTAAGTCATAAGTGCATAAGTACACCAACGTGCCTACTGTCCCTGTCCTATTGTTTTTTTTTTCTTATATGTACCCATTTCATGTATTCATAACTATGTATATACTTATACCTATTTTCTTGTAAGCGATTGACAAATCAAAATAAATAAATAAATACAAATAAAATAAAGTCCACCACTGCTAATTTCAATCAGCAGCAGTTTTATTCCAGCTGGTGTTGTCTGAATGTTGTTGTAAAATTTAATTTTAACTGCTCCTGAATTTAATTGATACTTGTATTTTGCCATTTTATTGTTCCTTAAATTGTTGATTTTTGTAAAAAAAATGATAAGAGGGTTATAAAATTAAGTAAAAGGTACTTAAACACAAATCAAATTTGACAAATATTTATGCAGCCCTATAAAAAAACTTAGTATGTGGCTTTCATATGCTACTCATTTGTGCTAATTTTAGTAAGAAAAGGGATACAATTACCTGCTTTCATCAGATTGCAAGAAACTTTCATTCACACAGGTCCCTTAAAATTGCTGCACAGCTGTTGTTTTTCTGTGTTTCAGAACTACCTTAATATTTCTGCATGCTAATGTTTGCTTTGTTTAAACCTTTGAGTTTCTTCATATCAGTCCATGCTCAAGCAGTTTTGTAAGAACAACAAACAAATGTAATAAAATCAGTCTCTTAGATCTTCCTTTTTTCCTTAACTTTTTCCCTTCTTTGGTTGACACAGAATACCTACTGAAAGATTTGATAAGAACCCTTTCTTACCTAATCTAGAGTCCTGAACTTTAAGCATTCATTTTTGTTTATTATTCAGAGGACAAAACATGACACTGAATTATGGCTTAAGATCTGAGTCCACAGTCTTGCTTGCTTCCAACAACTTATTGCTCAATATGTTTATCAGTGATTCATCACTTGGAAGGTAGCTCCCTATCTGAAAGTCTCAGAATTATGACTGGTTATCCTAATGACCCTTGGAATGAAAAATCCCTCAGAATTTCAAAGTAACTATTAAAAATGTTTATCCAAATGCTGGACATGAGATCATGAGAATTTCAAAGTATCTAAACCAGCGGAGCTGTTTCACAATCAAATAATGATAAGGGGCACCTTTAACCACAGCACTGACTTCTGATATTCACCAATATTACAAAAATGAAGAGACTGAGGTTCGTTCATACCATCCTCTGATGTACCGATAGTCCTCGACTTACAACTATTTGTTTAGCATCTCTTCAAAGTTATGACAACACTGACTTATGACCAGTCCTCACATGTATGAGTGTTGTAGTGTCTCGGGGTCAGGTGATCAACATTTACAAACTTCCAAAGAGGTTTCAGACAAGCAAAGTCAATGGGGGAAGCCAGATTCTTAATGATTACAACGAAGAAGTTCACAAAACTAGGCACAACTCATTTAGCAACTGCATCCCTTATCAACAGAAGTTCCAGCTCCAGTTGTGGTTGTAAGTCAAGAACTGCCTGTAAGCCTCTCCAGAAGTCTTTCAGGTTCAGCTGTGTGCATTTGCAGGAGACCTACTATTGCTGAACCTGAGAGATTATGGCTTTCTAGAGTTTAGAATGCCATTAAAAACCCTCTTCTGGCCAGTTTTTGGCTCCTAATATTTTAATCAGCTGCACAACTGTTTTAGCAATCAAGGCAGTGTATGTGAAAGACTTTCAATGCTGATGTAAGACACTCTAGAACCTTCTACTACTATGAAACTTCTACTTTCCAGATAATAGTTAGAAGATTCCAAGGGAAATTACTTAGATGGCAGAATGTCCAGAGCAGATGCACACAAGAAATGGAGATCAATGAATCAGATCAGTACGTTCCAAGCAACTTCTTCCATAATAATGTCCTTAAGAAGCAAACATTTCATTTCTTCTGTCTACCTTACCCTTCTTAGTTCCAGGACGCGAAGATGCTCCAAAGAATTTCTTCACTGTTGCCACTTTCCGCAGCTTCTCACTTGTTTTTTTTTCCTCAAATTTTGTGAAAGTTAGTGACTGAGCCCCATGAGTATGAGTATTAGCATAGGCCTCTTCTTCTTCACGCTGTAGTCTACCATTGGGAAGAATAATAAACAGTCTCAGTTCTCTTAAAAAGTATTGCCAAACGACTAGCAACATCCTTATACTATGCTGCTAGACCCAGGCTTCTTAGGGGTATTCAAACTATTTCAATTTCAAAACACCCCATTTCTTGTTCAAAGCAATTGTTTCACATACTTGAAACAAGCTATTTCAACCATTCTGAAAGTTATTACAGTCTGAAACAGTGTATTATAGCCTCAAAATAATTGAGTACATTTCCAGAATCACTGAATTAGATTGTTCAGATTACACAAAGCTACCGGCTAGAGGTGGCTTCCATGAAAAATAGGCACAAAGAAGCCAGACTCCAGAGCTTTGTCTATATTGTGCAAACCAAAGGAAGTGCCAGAATAGAAACTACTGAACCATGATTGTCTGTCAGTATTCTTTTCTTGATGCTCTTCAGAAAAGTGATGAATGCTACATCAATGAGAAATATCATCACAGTTCACTTGGTAGGTTAACATTATTGTTTGCACTATTGTTTACCAATGTACACATTTACCGGTCTGCGCTGCTAAATTTATACTGGTGCTAAGTGACTTATGGAAAACCAAAGACTAGAAACACAAAGCATCAACCAATATACTGTACCTACAAGTGAAACTCAGAAACTTAGAATATCATGCAAAAGTTCATTTATTTCAGTAATGTAACTTAAAAGATGAAACTAATATATGAGATGGACTCATTACATGCAAAGCAAGATAGTTCAAGCCGTGATTTGTCATAATTGTGATGATGGCTTACAGCTCATGAAAACCCCAAATCCACAATCGCAGAAAATTAGAATATTACATGCAATCAATAAAACAAGGATTGTACATAGAACAATATCGGACCTCTGAAAAGTATAAGCATGCATATGTACTCAGTACTTGGTTTGGGCCCCTTTTGCAGCAATTACTGCCTCAATGCAGCGTGGCATGGAAGCTATCAGCCTGTAGCATTGCTGAGGTGTTATGGAAGACCAGGATGCTTCAATAGCGGCCTTCAGCTCTTCTGCATTGTTTGGTCTCATGTCTCTCAACTTTCTCTTGGCAATGCCCCATAGATTCTCTATGGGGTTCAGGTCAGGAGAGTTTGCTGGCCAATCAAGCACAGTAATCCCACGGCCACTGAACCAGGTTTTGGTGCTTTTGGCAGTGTGGGCAGGTGCCAAGTCCTGCTGGAAAATGAAGTCAGCATCCCCATAAAGCTCGTCTGTGGAAGGAAGCATGAAGTGCTCCAAAATCTTCTGATAGACGGCTGTGTTGACCCTGGACATAATGAAGCACAGTGGACCAATACCAGCAGATGACATGGCTCCCCAAATCAACACAGACTGTGGAAACTTCATACTGGACTTCAAGCATCTTGCAGTATGTGCCTTTCCATTCTTCCTCCAGACTCTGGGTCCTTGGTTTCCAAATGAGATGCAAAAGTTGCTCTCACCAGAAAAGAGGACTTTGGATCACTGAACAACAGACCAGTTTTTTTTTTCTTTAGCGCAGGTAAGACGATTCTGACGTTGTTTGTTGTTCAGGAATGGCTTGACAAGAGGAAATACGACATTTGAAGCCCATGTCCAGGATCTGTCTGTGTGTAGTGGCTCTTGATGCACTGACTCCAGCCTCAGTCCACTCCTCCCCAACACTTTTGAATGGCCTTTTCCTGACAATCTTCTCCAGGCTGCGGTCATCCCTGCTGCTCGTGCACCTTTTTCTTCCACACTTTTCCCTCCCACATAACTTTCTATTAATGTGCTTTGATACAGCACTTTGGGAACATCCAACTTCTTTTGCAATTACCTTTTGAGGCTTTCCCTCCTTATGGAGGGTGTCAATGATGGTTTTCTGCACAACTATCAGGTCAGCAGTCTTTCCCATGATTGTGATTCCTACTCAACCAGACTGAGAGACCATTTAAAGGCTCAGGAACCCTTTGCAGGTGTTATGGCTTAATTAGCTGATTAGAGTGGGACACTTTGAGCCTAGAATATTGAACCTGTTCACAATATTCTAATTTTCTGAGATTGTGGATTTGGGGTTTTCATGAGCTGTAAGCCATAATCATCTCAATTATGCCACATCACAGCTTGAGCTATCTTGCTTTGCATGTAATAAGTCTATCTCATATATTAGTTTCATCTTTTCAGTTGCATTACTGAAATAAATGAACTTTTGTACGATATTCTAATTTTTTAAGTTTCAGCTGCATAAGGGTAGGCCAAACATCACCATATCCGAATGCATTCCTAACATGCAGAATCTTTATAACCCTTTATAAGGTAGAGGAGGACCAAATGTCCAAGAAAAGGTTCTATAAAAAGAGACCACCACTGGCAAAGGTTGCCTCCAAGTCACTTTATATGCTATTCCCTCAAACAAGGAACCTTCAGCAAGTTGTTTCTTTCTGATTTCACTAGATAAACAGATTCAATCCACAGAAAGTAGTGTAATTGGTATCTGGTCCCTGAATCATGAATACAGCAACTTTAAAGGTGACAATCAGCATGCTGAGCTGCAACCGATGCAGTTCCCCAAATAATAGTATTACAATATAAGGGCAGAATTCAATGTGCCCCAAACCCAAAACTACAAAGACAGCTTCACTCTATACCAGTATTAGTCAGAACCTCTTGAAGATTGGGAGAAAATCCATTCTTGCAATACCTGGAGAGAACAATTTCAGTATCATAGCACTCTCCTCTGGTAAATATAAAATTGACATATTTTTCCTTTTTTAAGAAAAGAGTGTTTTACCAATCTTCCCCTAAGAAAAATAATAATTACACAAAACTTGAATATAGCCCACCCAACTGTAGCATGGCCCATTCAGTGCTCAATGGGCCACTCAAGCTCCCCCCAAGAAGATGCAGTTTTATGACCTAGAGCAGGCCTGCCACAACTCAAGAGGGTCCACATTGATAAAATCACCTTTTTATCTTTTATGTGTGCATGCACAAACTGGGCTGTGAGCGTGCGCACACTAGTGCCCGTACAATGCTCACAGCGATGCTAGAACCCACACAACACTCACAATAACCCCAGTGTGAATGGGGGGGAGGGTCGCACATGCACGTGCACGCACTGGCCAACCACTTGTGCGGCCCAATGGACAACAGGCCATGGTCTGGTAGTGGGCCACAGCCCACAGATTGGGGACCCTGATCTAAACTAGGATATATATGAAATGTACCTGAAATTTAATTTTAACTAAAAAATATCTGTATCAAAGATGAAAGTTATTGTCTGTAACCAGCTTGACATGTTTCATACTGCAGTTTCATGAAAGTGATCTGAAACTTTTGTTACCTGATACACTTCCAGCCAGTGAACATGTACTCTGCTGAGTCTAAAAATTGTGTCTTATGACCCAAATAATATTTCATGTAGTTTAGCTAATGGTGAAGCGCATATCATTGTTGTTCTGAGAAAAAATAATCTAGAGCTCATCATGTCCTCAGGATAGTCTTACCTCTCAGCAAGCTCCCAGTCTTCCTGGATTTGCTTCTGCCTGGCTTTTTGGTACTCTTCTCTCCAGCATTTGGAACAGTAGCCTTGCCAAGCTACGTTGCCATAGTAGCCACATCCTTTCTTGCAAAGCAGTTCTGACTGATCAACATGGATCCCTCGGCGTTCTGACTTCACACTCATTTTGCTCCTGCTACAAAGAGGAAAAAGGGAGCAATTTTGGCTTCTTTGCACAACTCACAGAAAAAGCAGAGTATTTTGTTTTACAGGTTAGTTCTCGACTTACGACAGTTCATTTAGTGACTGTTCAAAGTTACAAGGGCACTGAAAAAAGTGACTTATGACCATTTATCACACAACCATTGCAGCACTCCCATGGTCATAAGATCAAAATTTAGACATGTGGCAACTAACTCGTATTTATGACAGCTGCAGTGTCCCGTGGTCATGTGATCCCCTTTTGCAACCTTCTGACAAGCAGTCTTTGGGGAAGCCAGATTCATTTAACAACTGTGTTACTAACTTAACGACTGCAGTGATTCACTTAACAACTGTGGCAAGAAAGGTTGTAAAATTCACTTAACTGTTTCACTTAGCTACAAAAGTTTTGGGCTCAATTGTAGTCATAAGTCGAGGACTACCTGCATTTATTAAATTTCTGAGCTGCCTATCTCACGAAAGAGCAACTCTGGGAAGCTCTTATACTATCAAGATGTAATATTCTCCCATTTGCCAAACTTTTGATAAGCTTAGGTAAAAACAAGGAAAACCAAATGGGCTCTGCAATAGTAGAGTATTAATCTATATAGGTAGTCCTCAACTTACCACTACAATTGGACCCCAAATTTCTGCTCAGCCAGGCAGTTGTTAAGTGAGTTTTGCCCCCTTTTACAACCTTTGTCACAGTTGTTAAGTGAATCACTACAACTGTTAAGTAAATCACGCAATTGTTAAGTGAATCTGATTTCCCCCATTCGCTTTGCTTGTCAGAAGGCAGCTGGGAGGGTTACAACTGGTAATCACATGACCCTGAAAGTGCAACTGTCATAAATACAGGTAGTCATTGACTTATGATCATAATTTAGCCCCAAATTTCCACTGCTAAGCAAACAGTTGTTGAGTTCTGGCCCATTTTACAATGTTTCTTGACGCAGTTTATAAGTAGCTGTAGTAACACGGTTGTTAAGTCAACCTGGTTTCCCTGTTGCCTTTGCTTGTCAGAAGGTCACAAAAGATGATCATGCAACTGCAAGACACTGCAACCATCATAAGTACATGCCAGTTGCCAAACATCCAAAATTTGAACATATGACCGTGGGGATGCTGCAACAGTCATAAGTGTGAAAAATGGTCATAAGTCACTTCTTTTAATGCCTTTGTAAATTTCCAGGATGGAAAATAGTTAGCTTATCAACAACTGAAGAAAACTTTCTGGCATAAAGTTCAGTGCCACAGTTTTATTCATTCATCTAAATATCCCAAAATTATAACTCTCCTGCCTCATCTGAGAGATGCTAACCAGAAGTACAATGCTGGCTGCTAAAAAAACAAATCTGTTATATTTATACATGTTACTTTTTTCAATATAGAAAACAGAAAGTGTTCTGGAAGTTTTCCTCTATCAAGTAGGATAATTTGTATGGCGCACAATTGCACAGCAAATATTTCAAAAAGAATTATAAATATAATATAACTTAGAATCATTCCTGATGAACTATTACAAAGTGGTTTGTCATTTTATTCCAACTTACAAATCATTCGCATATACATATACACAAAACACCTAAAATGCATATATAACACACATACACATATGAACTCAAAAACAAGATTGTCTACTCTTTGGCTTCAACTGGCATATTTTCATTATTGCTGATTAATTCATGAAATAGATTTTCATCACTAACACACAGTTTTGCCTTCATTAACAGAAGAGACTGGACTGCCATCTGTCAAAAATGGTGTAGGGTCTGCTTGGCTGGTGGGTTGGACTAGATGACCTACAAGATCCCTTCCAACTCTGTTAATCTGTATATCTGTATCTGTATAAGTTATATTTCTCCCACTGGGCAAATTCTTTTCCATCACCATATAACTACCTCTCACCCAACATCTGTTAATCAATTAAAGAAACCTCTCAGTTCATCGGAAATTGTCCTTAAGCATACTCCATTATTGCCATGAGACAGTCCAGAAACTAAAACAGAGAAACATTTAGGTCATGCTGTCAGTTCTTTGCCACAGGATAAGACTCTTCTGGTATTTCTCAACATGCCTTTCACTATTGATACCACAGTATCAAGGGTAATGTTAAGGAATCCAAACAGCACTTTCCCTGAAAAACTAAAGAAAGTGATCATGCATCACTGTTAGTGACAGTCAAAATTTTGCCATAAGAGAGGTGCAACTATAGAATATCAGAGCTATGGGTGTTCACAGAGTGTCATAAACAATAGAATTTGCCAATTCAGCAGTAGACACTCAAATCCCTAGAATGCTATAGCCCAGTGTTTCTCAACCTCAACCCTTATGGACTTCAACTCCCAACATTCCACAGCCATGGTATCATTATCACATAGGACAAAGTGATTTCACAGCAATTCAACTTTCAAATAATCAGACTCTTAGGCTGACTAGTGTATCTCTGTGCCACACACTCCAAGCAGTATAAGGATTAAAAAAAAAACTCACATGAAAGAATATGACAGTGATCTAATCCCTAGAATTAAAGAGAAGAAACTGATGTTGTTAAGATTTAAAATACAGAGTAGGACCTTTATGCAACTCATCTTAAATACACATTGTAACACGATTAGGCGGAGTCTGGATAATCAAATCACACCCAGTGGTACAATGACTGCGAGGTTGTTAATTGTACAAATTATCAAGTTAAACAAGTCAGCAAAGAAGGAAGTCTTGTGCTTTGGGTACCCACTGAGTTATGACAGCTTCAAATATTCTTCCCAAACACAGTGACAGTGGCCTTTTTGTCCAGTTGCATTTCAGCTATGCATACAGGCCTGGCATGCAGAAGTAAAAACAATGAATGTGTGTCAGTATACTCATATCTGTCTTAGTACAAGACAGAACAAAAGCAGAAAGAAGACAAGCTCACTGATCCTTATATTAGCAAAGCTGCAGAAAAATTCCTTATGCTACTTAAATCTGAAACTACTTAATACTTGAAGAAAAAAAATCCCTTTGTAGCAAGGGAGTCTCCCAGAACTGTGGGAATGTTTGCTCATCCTGAGTCATTCATTTCCATAAACAGAATAATGCAAGAATGTCTCTGGTATGTAAAAAGTACTTGCTCCCTTTAAAGGAGGGCAACTAGAATAATTCCATCCATGACATTTCCTACAAATCCTTTAAAAAATCTAGGAAGAAACCAGACTAGATAGATATTTCCATTCAGAGCCAAATTAGCTTCTTTACCTTCAGCAATCTGACCCAACAACAGAAACTATTGAGGGGGGGCGGGGGGAATTGAAGTTAGGAAGTTTTAGAAAACCTACTTCAGGCACTTTGTACAAAGATCTAGCTCTCTGGAAAAAGCTCTAATGTTAGAAAAGATGGAATGAGAGAAGAGGATGACAATAACATAGAATTCAGGGGTGTCAACCAGTGACCCATAGGCCGGATGCGTCACATGCAGGCCACGCCCAACCCAACTCCACAAAAGGAAAAAATATTGCAATAGTCATGTGATAGCAACATGACGCTATGAGTTGGACACCCTTAACATAGATGGATTCAGTTACAGTCCCTGCAATCCAGAGACTGCAACATTGGAAGACCTAAAAAAACTGAGTTAGAAATATGACTTGAGGGCCAATAAAGCTAACAGGTTGGCAGAATCAAGATAATTTTACCTGAGTAGCTTAATTTTTGTAGATAGTACCCCAAAGATTATAGGGTGCCCAGAGGTTAATCAGGAAATTATCTTACGAAATGCTGAAGAACAGCTAAATTCCTGACTCACAGTGAAAAATTACAAGAGTCCTTCAGTGTTTTACTGATATAAATACTGAGTATAACATAAAAACCTCTATGTATACCATGTACTGTAAACCTTTATGACATCAACTTACAAATATATCATGTTTTATAGGCTAGGTGAAGGGTTAAGTGGAGACAAAAAGAGAAATTAAAGAAAAACAGGAACCAGCATTAAAGTACACACCTATCTATATTCCTATTGCCAAAAACATAAACCAAATTCTCTCATCTTTTATTCAAAAGGTCGGGGGAGGGAGATAATGTAATGTGCAAAACACTGAATTTGATCTTAGTTATCTCTTCCCTAGAAACAGCAATCATAAATGAGAAAGACCAGGTTATCTTCATAGAAGAGGACATTGACATTTCAGCAAAGAATTGTCATTAATCTTATGGAAATAAAATCAGCCTCCTCTTTACATATTGAAATACTAAACCACTCAACCCAATTCAGCACAACCAACACAAATGCTAAAAAAGAATTACACTGTCATACTTCAAGAATATCTCAAAAACCACCAACACTATACAACCACATGGAATCAGCGTAGCACACTAGCCAATCAAAGCCCTTCAAAACATCCTAAGCAAACCACAAAATCCAGCAATCCCAGAAGAAAAAACAGGAGTCATCTAGCACATATAATGTAATGACTGCAACAGGGACAAGACTGGCAGAATGTATCAATGAACATCAAATAACAGTCATAAGACATGATGAAAACTCTTTAATTTCACTACATATACAGACTTAACTATTGTTTCAATTAGGAAATGTGACCATCCTAGACCAAGCCAAATCCAAAAACACCAGGAATTTCTAGCACGCTGGCACTCTGGCAAATAAGCCATCAATAGACACACAGACATTAATAACATCTATAGACTATGTAAAAGAAACAATCCACCAGCCAAAACCTGATCAGCATAGATTAACTCCAGGATTAACATTAGACCAACAATCAAGTAAACAATACCCCAATCAAGAAACTATCAAAGCCAACAGCAAACAGCCAAGGAATCTCTAAGGCCACCCCCCACCCCCCCACAGACATCGATGAGGCAAGTCATTAGAATATAAACTGACAGCAAACTGCACTCCTTACTACTGGTAGTACTGATGATGTTACCAAGTTTGGGTAATAAAACATCTTCAAGACAACAAGCATGCTCAGAGAGCCCCAAGGACCCCTTACTGAACTATTAAGTCTAAGATCAACTGCAACTTATTTTGTCCTTAAATTCTGCACTATTTCTGCTTCCACCTGAATGACTGGCTTCAAGAAACTCAGTATACTATTATAGAAAAAGTTAAAAAAAACTAATTTTAATTAAATTTTGCCCAATTTTGCATGGCTTTGTGTGACTTTGAAGAAAGCACTAGCTTTGTTTAGTTTATAGGCCACCCTGAAGAAAAAATCAGATAGTGTTCACCGTATGAGATTTATCGTATTTGAGGGGATTGAAATACAATACAATAAACCAATGTTTAACAGTATTTTCACATATTAACATGACATCCCACTATAAAAATGGCTTCAAAACACTGGTCATTCATCTCACTGTTCATATCTTTTTGGAGACCATTCCTATGGCTTTGTGGGTTAGGTGTAGCCATGAGGCCTTAGGTATGGCTGTCTGTTTTCATCAATGATAATTAGCTAAAGCAGGTTTCCCTAACCTAGTGCCCTCCAAATGTATTGAAGTATGATATCCAGAAGGCCCAGCCAGTACAGATAATTTCTATGGAGAAAGATGAGCTAAATCTTTAAACTGGTTAATGTTTAGAAACGCTAAGTACTGCAACTAATACTGACTTGGTATAGAAGTCATTACAGCATCTTTCCAAAATGGTATCTATCCCAAATACAATATTCCAGCAATTCCAGGCAATTAGATCAAATATTTCTCTAGCATCCAAACTGACTGGTGGCAGTTTTCAAGGTTTATACTACACAGGATGCATTCCCCCACACATCTATAGCTCTTTCTCTGAAGGGCCGAGAGGATTTTTTCTGAATCAAACATGCTACAAATTAAGCACTGGATTACAAAAATCTATGCCAGGTTTGAGTGCTAATATTATTATTTGTTCATTTGCATTCCACTTTTCTATCCAGAGGCTGTTTCCAGTGATTTCATACATATGTACAAATTTTTACATTAGCATACAGTATGTGATCAAAGTTTACTACTTTAACTGCTATTTTTTTAAAAAGACATCCCAAATTCCAGAAAACTTTCCTAGAACCACATCACCTCTCTTAGTTAATCCTGGAACTCAATCCAATTTTGGAACCTCACAATCAGATTCCTGCCCAGTTTTAAAGACAATTTATAAAAGAGTTCATTATAATGTATCTACCCCACAGCTGTGAAACTATAAATATACCAATTTTCCTTCCCACACACATGAAAGATTCTAGAGTCATCTAATGACAGCATTCTGTATGCACTGTCTTATAAGTGAGAAGTTGGCAACATTCTAGTGGACTTTTTCAATAGCACTATCGAAAATTCAGAACTTATCACAGAGGTAAAACTTTTTGCTTCTGCTGCTATTATATCATGGTTTCAGCAAACATTTTCCCATCTCTCTGAATGTTATGAATTACAGTATAAACTGGCTTTATATTAGTAATGTTTATCAAGCTATATTAAATTAAATATTAAATTATACTTCAACAGAGCCCCATTGATTGTATTAAAATAACATGTTAATTTAAGTAATTAATAACAAGAAATCCCGTGGTATCTTAAAGACCAACAAATTATTAAGTTCTCCCATACTACAGATCATATATACATGCATGCTTAACTGGCTCCTTGCTATTTTTTTTTTTACTGCAAAAAAGAAACTGACATAAGAATTATTTTAATTAACGTTAGCCATTTTTAATAATCCAGTTAAGAAGGAGAAAATCAGATTTCTCTAAGCCAATACATTTGAGAAGGATTAATCTGGGGACAACTGTAACAAGTAAAACCACCTTAAGTGGAAAGAAAACAGGAACAACAGTTACGCCATTCCGAGACGTCCTGGAGAAGGCAAGGTAGAATTTAAAATAGCAGTAGAAACGAAAAGAAATAGGTTTTTTTCTTCCTCCTCTTCTTCTGTTTACATCGCACTTGGACTGCAAGTTTCTCGAAGGAAGGAGTTCTTCTCCTGCAAACTGTAAACACTGATGTTGCCAAGAATAATTTCTTACGATTCTTTCCTTTTCCTTCCATCTCCAGGTGTGACGTAAGTATGCTCCTATTTCGCCCTCCCGTTTGTCTTTCCTCAACAGTCCCGCAAGGCTCCTTGAATATTAACTAACGTATAACGTTAATATCAACGACAATATTACCACAATACTATAATAATATGCTTCAATTAATGTTTACAATCATGTATTAACTTCTAATTTCGGAGGGGACGGAGGTGCGGCCTCGTTCGCTCCCCAAACCCCGTCTATCCTCACCTCTTCTCCGCCGCTTGCTTCCGGGACCAAACCCAGCCGAGGGACAGGCTCCCCTCTCCGGCCTCCCTCCGCCTCACCCGCTGCCTTCTTCTCTCAGCTTCTTCCCGTCCCTTGACGGGTTTACGTCACTTCCGCAGAAGGAAACGGGCATCACTGAGCGCGTTCGTGCCCGAAGCGTCGAGTTCGAAGAGTAAACAAGGGCAAATGAATGAAGCGTTTGTGCACCTTAGACTGGTATGGAGACGGTACGGGGGTGTAAGTGCCTTTGATTTCTGGTCTGTTGTGAAGCAGCCGGCGGAATGAATGAAGAAAGGCTCTTAGGTTTCATTCATTTTCATATTCATATCATCAGAAATAAAAGATACCCTGTTCTCTATCCCCTGCGCCTTTCCTGTGAAATAGCTTTATTAACTTTATTAACGCAAAACGTAGTCACCGAACCGGTAGTAACACGGGTTGAATCCCACCCCTGCATCACACAAAATACAAAGTAGTTTAGATATAACATTTAGAAGTCATCAAAGTGGTATTCAAAATATAGAGATATGATTGTTCAATGCCTAACAAAGTTAATGCTCATTGTATTTATTCAGCAGAACTATTTCAGGGTTTCATGAAGAACAGCTGCCAACTGCAAAGGCTTTATATCAGGTATGCTGATTAGATTATCTCCCCATTTTCATTGGAGATCACGAAGATTAGAGAAGCAAATTTATTGCAAGTGGGAATTTCATCAGGAAAAGACATTGGGCCCCTCCTGCAGCAGGCATGAGAACAGTGGAGAAGTGTGATTTGCTGTCAATTTATATTCTATCTAGTGGCTTGCCCTGTCAGTGTAAGGACAGGCCTCGCCCCCATTTGAACAAGTATAGACTCTTGAAAACTTTGTATTTCAAAGGAACCTTTTACTGAAAAGGGGTGAAAGCAAGTCGTCCAGGTCATGGTTGTCCTAAAGGTATTTTTTTCAAGAGGCAACTGGACTTCCTGTTTTTTCTTTCAAGAAGTTTCACTTCTCATCCAAGAAGTGAAACATCTTTTTTAAAAAATAAAGTTCAGTTGCCTCTTTAAAAAGCACCTTTAGGACAACCATGACCTGGACGACTGAGAATCTCCATAGACATTTAACAGTCAGAAGATAAGATTTTCATCATATCTTCTGATAAATGTCTGGAGATTCTCAGTAATTTCACAATATAGACAGACTTGACCATAATTTCAATTGGGAAAATATAACCATCCTAGACCAAACCAAGTTAAAAAATGCCAGGGAATTTCTAGAAGCTTGGCACACAAATTAACCATCAATAGACACATAGACATTAACATCTATAGACTGCAAAAAAAAAAAAAACCCACCCACCAATCAACCAGACAAAAGGAACAAAAAAATCAAAGCACCTCTCCACCAGCAATCAGCACCCTGATCAGCATAGATAATATTATTTTGAATGTAGGATTGTAAATTGGCAAGCTCATCCTCAATAGTTTTATTCAAAGAATGAAAATTTCTGAGGATGAACATTAGTGGCATATTTATATTAGATTGATCAGAGGCATTAAAAATAGGAAAATTGTCAGGATACATATCAGGAGCTATATTAAGTCTATACAAAGAAGAATTAAAGGTACCTGACAACCAATAGTAGTTAGAACAATAACTATAATTCCCTAGCTTTTTTAATATGTGCTGAGCAGCATTATAATCAGACCAATTGTGAAGCCAAGTGTGTTTAGCGTGACAACAGAAACACAGACCCCTTGTAAATTGACTAACTTTCAAGTAACGCCAACAGACAGAATTCAATTGCATAGGGGGTTTAGAAAATAGCCAAGAGTGTGAAATAGATTGTAATTGTGAGACAATAAATGTAGAAGACATGATCAAGTTAGGGGTAAAAGAAATTTGACCAAATGCCATTGGGGGCTCATAGTATAAAGTAATATTTATGCCATGGGTCATAAACATATATTGTGCATGACAAACCCACAAATTAGGGTTAAGACGAACCACAGAAGTGTCATTTTGAGCAGAAACACCATTAACCATAGACAAGAAAATACAAAGTAAAATTGTAACAGAATTAGCAGTAATAATAGCAAAAACAGCAGCAACAAGATTTTCAGAAATCTGAGGTAATGAGGTCTGTTGCAGTTGTTGTTGAGCTTGATATGTAGTAGATTATGTAGATATGTAACCTGGCCCCAAGTGATGGATTGCGGGCGCTTCAACCTTGGAAGCCGGACTTCTGTGTTCAGATGAAGATTGAAATCCAGAATCGGATTGTGAAGGCCCTGATGCCATGCCATGATATGGATGAACACAGCGCGCTGGAACCCACACTGCTTGTCCAGTAGAAGGATCTTCCACAGCAGCATAACCACAACCCCAGGTGATCAGCAGTGTAGGGCCTTTCCAGGTTGGATCTGGAGCTTGGTGATACTTTACCAAAGGCCTTGCTAAAGATTCAGTAGTGCGAAAATGCAAATTAACAGGTGAGTCTGCAAGAGAATCTAAAAAGGTTAAATAATTCCAAGTATATAATGCTACAGCAGTGAGATTTTGAATCTTTCGCAGATGGTAAGGGCCAGACTCAGTTTGTAATTGTTTTTGAAGCAATGCCTTAAAAGTACGATGAGCTCGCTCAACTATAGCTTGATCCTGAGAGTTGTAAGGAATTCCATGCACTAAAGTAATATTCCATTTCTGACAAAAGGTTTGAAATTCCTTACTAATATAAGCGGGGCCATTATCAGTTTTCAACTTGAGAAGGCCGACCCATTACAGCAAAAGAGGATAGGCAATGAGAAATAACATCTGAAGTACGTTTATGTTTTGAAACAGTAACCCAAAGGAAATGTGAATGAGTGTCAATAGACGTATTAAGATAACAGTATGGCTTAAAGGTTGAAAATTGAGTTACATTCATTTGCCAAATTTGATTAGCTTGGGTTCCTCGTGGGTTGATACCTACTGGAAAGGGAACTGCCAGTTGCTGACAAGCTGGACAAGCACGGACAATATCCTGGGCTTGAGATAATGAAATTTTAAATTGCTTTGCAAGCGATTTGGCATTTTGATGAAAATAAGAATGGCTATCAACAGGATCAACAAAGACGCAACATCCTTTAAGGATTCATCTGCCTTCCAATTTCCTTCAGTCAAGGGAGTATGACTCCCAATGTGTTCTACATACAAAGAATACAAGCGAGTTTCCAAACTATTCTTTAAAGATAAAAACAAGGATAACGAATTCTTATCCAAAGAGAGAGCACAATAAGAAAAGAGAAGAGATTGCATAGCTAAATACACATATTGAGTATCAACAATCAAGTTAATAGGCTGGTCATTGAACAATCGTAAAGCCAAAATCACAGCAGCCAGCTCAGCACATTGAGCTGAAGTCTGCGTGGCAGTAAATTTAGAATACCATTGTTGTTGAATCTGCCAGACAACCACACCCTTTGTAGGTGAGCCATCAGTAAAAACTTTAAGAGCTTTAGAAATAGGATTTTGCACAAAAATGGAAGAAAAGGCCAGATTTAAAGTAGTAGTAACCACTATTCTAGGATCCTTGGGTAAAGAATATAATAAGTTTCCCACATATTGAGAAAAGGCTATCTGATATAATTCTGAAATCATCATCAAATGCTCATGTTCAACTTTTGTAAGAGTGAAAGCTATGCTAATGAGATCCTGTCCTGTAAGATGTAAGGCTCATTTACAACCTTTAATAATTAAATGTTTCTAGGAGGAGTAGCTGACAATCCATTCATGAATGTTGACTGCCTGTGGAGAGGCATTAGAATAAAGATATCCTGTGGGTAAGGGTGCAGTAGGAAGAATAGCTAAACGAAGTCCTATTAAGGATGTTATCCTGTCCACATATCGATGCTTAAACTTATTCAATATTTCTTGAAGGCATGTTCTTTGAAGATCAGTTAATACAACTAGATCTCCTGGTGATTGTGCTCCCTTCAAAGACTGAAATAAGGGCAACATATCACCAATTGTAATGTAGAAGAATGGGCATGCCCAATTAATAATGCCAAGTAATTTTTGCCATTGTACTAAGGTATATGATTTCTGTACTTGTAATTCAGGAAGAATTGGAATGGAGGAATTGTGCAACATTCTATGTCCTAAGTAGGTATAAGGTTCTACCTTTTGAATTTTGTCTGAGGCTATATACAATCCCTGTTGTGCCACAATATCCGTTAACTCTTTTAACAACTTAGATTCATCAAAATCTGGGGCTGCTATCAATATATCATCCATATAATGATAGACTAAATAGGAAGGAAATTTATTCCAAAAGGTTGAAGGGCATTATCCATGAACTATTGACAAAGTGTAAGGGAATTAAGCATTCCCTGAGGCAACACTCGCCAATGATATTGTTTTGTGGGCATGCTATTATTAAAAACTGGGATAGTAAATGCAAATTTTTCTTTGTCTTGAGGCTGCAAAGGTATAGTAAAAAAGCAGTCTTTAAGATCAACTACCAATAATTTATAAAAATTAGGAATTAAGTTAGGATTTGGTAGACCACTTTGTAAAGGACCCATGGGTTGGATACATTTATTAATTTCTCTTAAATCATGAAGGAAACGCCATTTCCCATTTTTCTTTTTTCTAACAAAAACAGGAGTATTCCAAGGACTAGTAGAAGGTTCTATATGACCAGCAGCCAATTGTTCTTGAACCATTTGTTGTAAAGCAGCAAGTTTTTCCCTTGATAATGGCCATTGTTCCACCCAAACCGGTGTAGAACAGAGCCATTTAAGAGAAAGAGCCATCATCAAGAATCAAATGGACATTAAGAAGAGAAAGGATATCACGGCCCCAAATATTAGTATGAATATCTAGAATGTATGGTTGTAGGAAAAAGGACTTACCAGCAGATGTTGTAACATTAATTTCTTGAACACTCTGCCAAGCAGCTTGTAGAACTTCTTATTCCCCACAATGAAGAAACTCGTTTTTGGCCACTGTACTGGCCACTGTAAAGAGGAGATGACAGTAACATCGGCTCCAGTATCCAATAACCCTTGAAATGGTTTTTTATTAAGGAAGAGCATTAACAAAGGACAAGAGGAGTTCAGCTGATGAAGTAAGCTTACAGAT